CTCATTAATTATGGCATGATGTGAATTCCCTGGAAATCGACGAGATCGTTCAATTAAGAAGTAAGTTTGTCTAAATCAGGAAATGTAGGAACAATAATAATACAAAATAATCAATAAAACATGCGCTTTAGTCACTAACATTAGTTCTTATCTCTATCTACATGTGTTTGCTGTACTGCAAATTTTCATATCCAATCTTAGCTAGAATGATGATAGTGAATGTTTAAGACACAACGGAACAAAAGCGACAGCACAAAAAAAAATCTTTAATAGAAACACAAAATATATTGTATCCAATTTTCAGAACTAAACAGTGTGAAGCAGATGAATGTAATAGCATAATATATGATCTTTGGGCACACGACGAAACGTGGAAGTCATGAACAATGATATTAAATATTTCATCTTCTCTCCTCTTTCTCTTTTCTATGCAATTCATTTTAGTTCCATTCTTTTCACTTTTCTCACTTCCAAAAAGATAAATTCATATTACGAACGAGAGACATAATTTTCATTGAGACATTTCATAAATGGTTATCTCTGCTCTTTTTATTTCAATTCATAACATCAAGATCCAACTACTACTGAATGAGCAGAGATGAAGAATTAATTTAGCAAGCGGCCACGAACAAAATTTTCACACAGAAAATTATTTTAATTAAATCTTCAATGTTTTTGTTTCAATCTTTCATTTAGTGCCAATCATAAAAGTCTTTTTGCAAGAAGAAACCTTTTTTCATATTTCTGCCAATTAAATCATACTGGAATGAATCATCGTTATAAACAATTCGTTAAATAAACATTCAGCTAGACAGCTCCGATGATTGAGCAAAATTAATTTAATTATCACGAAAAATAAAAAAATAAATACAGAAAAAATTATCAGACTTTGCCTCATTTACGCCACAAACATTAATGGACGTAATTAAGGCGACGATTATTGCGAAATTTGACTTTCTTATTTTTAAAAAAAATTGCAAGTTCGCTGGTCTGCGAGACACAATTATTGTAAGTTACGACATTCAATAACAATAACCCTTAATTATTAATCAAGGTTAATACGCAAATAAGTCTACAATTTTCTAGTTAAAGCTAGTCCTGACCCAGTAATACTTTATTTGTTTGTTTTGATCATTTCGGGGTTTTTATTTCGGCAAAATTATTTTATTTGAGTCATAATACTATCAGCGCAGCTGTTATCAACGTTGTTTGTTCTTTTCATTTTTATTAAGCATGAACGATTTTTAATTTGTTTTCAGCAGACTACAACCATGTTCTACTCAATTTATAAACTAAATTGTTAATTGGATGTTCTACGTTTGTCCTACATTGAGTATTTTAAAGAGTTCTTAAAGCTTTCTCTTTTATTGGCAGTGGAATTTGTGAAGAATTTTGCAAATCATTAGTCATCAAGATATGAAACTGATTTGTATTGCTCAAAACAAACAAAGGAAATGCTTTTCTTTCAAAGAACTAGATTACAATTTCTTATGAAATCAGATTTAATACATATTAATGTGAGCTCTTGAATAGTTCATTAATCCTTCACAAAAGATGTTATAAACTTATGTAAACTAGATATGCTTAGTTCAGTGTTTCTCAACCTGTGTGCCACAGCACACTATTGTTTGAGAAGCACTGTCTTAAACATACGGCCCTAAAAGACAAAGAACATGTACAGAAGAACCATAAATTAAGGTAAGATACCATTGACTGAGCATGTTCTTTGTTTATGAGGACTTCTGTTTCTAATCGAATCTACAGCACAGATTCTTAAACTTATAATTCGTGCCAAAATCATTTATTCCAGTTCAAAACTGTTCATCTTGAGTCAAAAAAGCATTCCTCATCCTCAGTTATCTTAAGAAGATCTAATTTAATAAAAAATCTACCACAAAACTTGACTAGTTCCATTAAACAGAACGTCAAGAATTAAATTTAGCTCAGGACATCCCGTTAAAGAATTTGCTGACTTTTCAAAACAAACGTCTTCTTTTTCCCGTTAAGAAGAAGCAAGCATGAGACAATAAGAAGCTCAGACAACACTGAGCAATGTCTCAGATACGAGAAATGTACAGAGGAAAGAAAAGGTCACAAGATAGCAGAAAAGTTTTTTTGCACAAACTTAAATTTACAGAACGAACCAAAAATTTATTCGTTGCTTCACAAAATCTTGCGCTTGTACAAAAAAAAAATATAAAGATAATCTTGAAAAATGATTTTTATGTATTTTTTTACGAAACTTTTTTTTTGTTGTATTCCTTATTTCATCCACTTATGTGTGTTCTGTATTCCGCAAATTAGCAGGCAAATTCGTTCAAGTTTTACTTTAAAAAAATTCATCAGAAATTGAATGTGCAGAAAAAATGCTATGTTGGCTGTATTACAAATAAGTTAATTAATATCTTCCTTACATTAATTGTTCATTAAGTAATTTAGTCAATGACTAAAACCAAATAAAATCTTCTCTGTTGGTTTCTGTGGCTGTGAGAATTATTTTATTTTCAGTTCACTGGTTAAGTTTTATTTATTCACACAAATTTTTATTTTATTTTAAAATGTAATCCGTGTTCTTGTCGCTGAACTTGTCCTTGCCGGTTTTTGATGTCATGAACGTCTGTTAGACTTTACTCATCTCTATCATCACTTTAAAGCGCAAATAAATTTGTCACTTTTTTTACACTCTACAAATTTTTTGTAATTTTTTTTATTTTCGCATTAACTTAATAAACTTAATTGCGCAATTCATTTATACACATATCAGCTATATTCAATAGTATTGACTTATCAAAGCTATAATAACATAATAAACTTTATGGCAAACTTCAAACTTCTTTTTTCTTTTTGTTTCAATTCCAACAGAAATAACTTTTCTGATTCAGCTATTTTTTTCTTATCAATTTACTAATTTAGTGACATTACAGCGGTACATGACGTCACTTGCTATATACTATTTTTTACACTCTCAAGCATATAGAATAGACCAGATTCATATTTCATCACTTTGTTGATAAGATAATCAATTTTTTTCACACTTTTCTTTTCCTCTATTTCACAGAGCCAATTCACATTCACACATAGAAAAAAGATAGCTGGTCCTCCTCCTTGTATGAACAGAAATAACTTCTATAAAGACCAAAAAACTTCGCGACAAAAACGAACTTTTCGCAAGAAAATATCAGCAATAACTGACTAAAAAACACTCGAGAGAGCAATTCTAGAAAATGAATGTTGTTCGATTCCGGTTAAGCAGTCAGCACTCAACATCCAACATTATAGTAAAAAGCATTGCGAGAGAGAGCAGGCAGACAAGCCCATTGAGAAAATAAAAATGTATAAAATTGAAAAATTTATGCTCGCACAAGACGAGAATGAAAAGTTGCAGAAACAAAAACAACTTTTGCGCCATTCCGATGCTGGGAGTGTGCATTTAATTACTAGAAATCTACAAGACCTAGTTTCGTTCATTGAATAGGAAATTACGTTTGATTGGAAAATGTCGTCGAGGAGAAAATGATGTGAAAAGAAGTGTCATAAAAACATTCAAAGCATTTTATCATCATCATCCTTTTCATCTCCATCCATTCATACGAACTCATCACCAAATAATGTATGAAAGATTTGAGGACATGATTTTTTTATTGTCAATTCTTATATTTTTATAGGCATCCCCCTCATATTATGTCTAAGCATTTTTATATGTTGAAATGTCCTAAGAACATGCTAAACTGTTATTTTTATAGATAAATGCGAGAAAAAAAAGGAAAATAAATTATTGGAATTTTATGTAAATTCTGCAAGAACGATCAATGGCCTACATTTATTTCTTTTACTCCAACTTCTTATGACTATGCAGTTTATAAAGAATATGTGTGCTCCGAGTCACACCTTACAGAATGAAATGTGCATTTAAATCCATTAATTTTATCACTTTGTGTAATTTGGAGTGAATTAATTGGATTTAGGTTGTTATCAGCGAGTTTCTTTCGTTGTTTTACTGTACATGATTTTTTAGGTATCTTTTAAAAAGTGATATAGGGTGATATGCTAGATAAAAGAATTTATTACTGTTAAAGTTGAGTCGTGCACCTAATAAAGACACTATTGAACTTGGTATTGTTGATTGGCAAGCGATAACCAGCTTTAGACGACATCTAGGAAGATCATGGATCACAAGTAATGTGTACGACCAACGAAGTATGTTTGAATATATGTCAAATGAGAATCATATTAAAAATTCTTCAACACATCTTGAATTAAGACAAATCTTAAAGTTATCAAGACAAATCTAGTTCCTATCACGAGCTTTTGAATTTGTAGTCATTTAAAGGCGTCTTTTGTTTCACTGGCGATAAACTTGAATAATTAAGACCCAAAACATTCTTAGCATTCTTGAATAATCTGCAGATAAATTAATTTAGAAATAATTATTAAATTGTGAGCACAAAATTCACAAATTCGATGACGACCCATAAAAAAAATATACAGCCACTTAACTTCTATAGATTACAGGTTCTGCAATAAAAACTTGATCAGCTTAAGTCTTATCACAAAAATGCGAAACCCGAAAAAAGTCATAAACTTCATACATCACCCTTCTATAATAAAACTAATGTCAGTGACTGTTACACAACGCGAACAATGCTACTGCTCGGGTATCGCACCCTTACAAATTCCAATAGATACACATCGAAATTATGTATCATGACCAATTTAACAAATTGCAGTAACCCATAAAGTCCAGGAAGGGCTTAATTGATATTAATCACAAATCTTGACAATTGATCACACTCGAGAGAATTACTTTAATGATGTTAAAAAGAATCATTTAGTCATTCAGTCATTTATTCATGAATGAATTTACTGTCTCATTGAAGACTGAACATTTTTTTTTTCTTAGGAATAAGGAATTAGTCATCGGAACTTTTTCATGTCATTCCTTAAAATTTTACAGTAAGATGTGTGAAAAGAAATAAAATAATAAAAAGTATTGAGGCTATTTAATCTTTGCCGTTTTGAACGTACTTATACTGTCGATATTAATACATTTCCATACTTTTATGTAAAATATGAAGCTTTTATAACTTCGAGGCACGTACCTGAATTTCAAGCAAGAGTTCTTGCTTTTTTCGTCGCAAGTCTATAAGCAGTTTTTGTTGTTCAGGTGTAAGGTCCACTAAAAATGTACAATTGATAACAGTATTATTAATAATATGTCATTTTGATGTACTTAATTCACTAGTTTTTGATTGTAAATAAATAAATTGACGACTTTCTTTGTTGACACAAATAATTTAATCATTTTCAATCCACTGGATTAATATCTTTCTTAACAGTTCACTTCCAGGACACTATTATAGCACATTTAACTAATTTTAAGTGACTAGATTGTCTAATTTGAGTGAAAATAATTAAATTTTTTTGGAACTTCGAGAACAAAATTTTACCTTGTTGAAATTCAATGTTTCCTGCATGCATACCGAATGTTAAATTATTTTCCATAACACTAATCATAATATTAAAACAAATTCACTTGTTTAAAATCATCAAAGATGTCAAATAAGCCACAAAATTAATTAATTTATGTTTTTATTTACTGATTCCGAATAAGCCACAAATTTTAATCTGATAGTATTGGTGCGGGGTTGGTGCTCAAAACATTTACTGAACGCACTCTAGATGCGAATGTATTTGTTTTTCTACTGACAGCAACAACATTGGACCGCAATCAATTTAGTTCCTGCAGAAATGTCGAAATATAAAGGAAAGAAACGTAAGGCAGAGGATGAATATGATTTACAGACAATCTTAGAAGAGGATATGTCCAATGATGGTGCTACTGAAGCTGCTGTGCCTCAAGCAAGTGGTAGAAATGCCGAAAAAAACGATGAAACTGTAAGTTAATTTCATAACAATGTGCAAATACACTGATTATCTGAAAGAAATTATTATATTGGAACTAATCAATAATAATTCCAATTAATAGGTACAGGATGATGAGTATGGAGCTAAAGATTATAGACCACATCTCGAATTAAAGCCAGACTTCTCATCCCGTCCACTATATGTAGCACCAAATGGACATATATTCTTAGAGACATTCTCACCTGTTTATAAAAATGCTCATGACTTTCTAATTGCCATATCTGAGCCTGTTTGTCGTCCAGAACATGTCCATGAATATAAATTAACAGCTTATAGTTTATATGCAGCCGTTTCTGTTGGATTACAAACTCACGATATCATTGAATATTTAAGACGATTGTGTAAGACCTCAGTCCCGTCGGGAATCGAGAAGTTCATTAAGCTATGTACAGTCTCGTACGGAAAAATTAAGCTGGTACTGAAACACAATCGATATTTCATCGAAAGTCAACATCCAGAAGTTTTACAGAAACTTTTAAAAGATCCAGTGATCCAGCAATGTCGTTTAAAACGAACGGAAGAAAACATGGATGAGGAATTCATCAAAAGCCAGCAAAACATGAAAGGTGTCTCATTTGGACAGAAAGCAATCGAAGAAACGCCAGAAGATGAAGCGGATAAAGCCAAAGTTCCAGATGACATTACAAAGTTTTACGATAAAATCGATAATGAGGATGAAGAGGAAGTAAGTCTAGAGACAGTATCATTCGAGGTTGATCAAGAAAAGATTGAGACAATCCAAAAGAGATGCATAGAAATAGATTATCCATTGCTGGCTGAATATGACTTTCGAAATGATACAATTAATAAGGACGTAAATATTGATCTTAAGCCAGCAGCTGTTTTACGTCCTTATCAAGAGAAGAGTTTGAGAAAAATGTTCGGAAATGGACGTGCTCGTTCAGGAGTTATTGTATTGCCTTGCGGGTAAGTTGTAGCTGACATCCTGTAAATTAATATCATTAATGTATAATATTTTCAGTGCTGGAAAGTCATTAGTTGGAGTGACTGCATGCTGTACAGTTAGAAAACGAGCTTTAGTTCTATGCAACAGTGGTGTTAGTGTTGAACAATGGAAGCAGCAATTTAAGATGTGGTCCACAGCTGACGATTCAATGATCTGTCGATTTACATCTGAAGCTAAAGACAAACCGATGGGCAGTGCTATATTAATCACAACATATTCTATGATTACACATACACAAAAACGATCGTGGGAAGCAGAACAAACTATGAAATGGCTACAAGAACAAGAATGGGGAATTATGGTGCTCGATGAGGTCCACACAATTCCAGCAAAAATGTTCAGACGTGTCTTAACGCTCGTACAAAGTCATTGTAAATTAGGTCTTACAGCTACACTTTTGAGAGAGGATGACAAAATTGCTGATTTGAATTTCCTTATTGGACCGAAATTATATGAAGCAAATTGGTTGGAATTACAGAAAAATGGATACATTGCTAGAGTTCAATGTGCTGAAGTTTGGTGTCCAATGACTGCTGAATTCTATCGAGAATATCTCGTCACTAAAACATCCAAGAAAATGCTTCTTTATGTCATGAATCCAAGTAAATTCCGAATGTGTCAATATTTAATTCAATATCATGAACGCAGAGGCGATAAGACAATTGTCTTTAGTGACAATGTATTTGCTCTTAAGCATTATGCTATTAAAATGAACAAGCCATACATTTATGGACCAACTTTACAGAATGAAAGAATTCAAATTCTTCAGAATTTCAAATTTAATCCAAAAGTCAATACAATTTTCGTCAGTAAAGTTGCAGATACAAGTTTTGACTTGCCAGAAGCTAATGTCTTAATCCAAATCTCATCACATGGTGGATCTCGTCGTCAAGAAGCTCAACGTCTTGGACGTATTTTGAGAGCCAAGAAAGGATCATTTGCTGAGGAATATAATGCATTCTTCTATACTCTCGTCTCACAAGACACAATGGAAATGAGCTACTCAAGAAAACGTCAACGTTTCTTGGTCAATCAAGGTTACAGCTATAAAGTCATCACACATTTAGCAGGAATGGATGAAGACACAAGTCTTTACTATAAAACACGTGAAGATCAGGGACAGTTACTTCAACAAGTTTTAGCTGCTTCCGATATAGACTGTGAGGATGAACGAATGCCTGGCGAAGGTGGATTTCCCAGAGCCTCAACATCAAGAAAAACTGGTGGATTCAGTTCATTGTCTGGTGCTGATAATGAGGTTTATTATGAGCAGAAGAAAAGAAGCACTGTTCAACATCCATTATTTAAGAGATTCCGTTAAGTTGTTCTATGTTACTTTGATAATGAATAAAGTTTTAAGGATCATCATTTAATATTTCTAGCTTGTTATCATTCTTAAATTTCAGAATATTTTGTTGTGACTGTTTTAAAATAGGAAAGTACCAAAAGCTTGCTTAAAATTAAATTGGCACACATCACGTAAACTTTCTCCATTTATGCAAGACACTACCAAATTTGAAAATACCCAAATATGCTTCCAGCAGTCGTTATCAATTTTTCCATGACCTTAGATCACCAAAAAGAAAATTTTTGCTGTAACTTTTAGACATGTCCTTGATATTGACAAAATCAGAAGATTTTTGATGATTTTATAAAGCAGCAGGCATGCTCTAATAATTTTTAGTTAAACTTAAACTTTCGTTTTATCAAGAAGTGCTTAAAGATGATTTTAGAATTATTTCTAGCTGCTCTGTACATCCTATTCATTTACTTTAAAGTCTTTAGAGGCAGTTACATTTGGTTTGATAACAATGGTGAAGTTAAACGAAGGAAGAAGTCAAAATTTTGGAATATCTTAACAACCATGTATGACTACTTATTACATACTAAACCAGAGGATCGACTGTTAAAGTTGAGAGGATTTCACAAAGTTTCACCAAGATTTTTCCGTGTCAAATTTTGGAAAATCGATTATGTTGTCATTTATGATCCAGAACTATTAAAGAAAGTATTCAATTCACAAGTTGCATGTCAACGTCCATTTCGGAACTGCTTTCAACTTGAAAAGGGATTGTTGTCATCAGAATGTAAGCTATTTAATGTAAGTCTGAGTAAGAATAAAATTGACTAGGTTTGATATTTTTCAGATCATAGCTGGAAGAAGTCCAGAAAGCTCTTGAATGGTGGATTCAACCTGAACATTCTAAAAGGATTGATTCCAATTTTTTCTTACTATACTGGAACTCTTATCAAGGAAATGGAACAACATTTAGATGGAAAGGAGTTTGATCTGTTGCTTCCATTATCCAAACTTACAACAAATGGAATTTCAGGTAAGTTGATAGTTTTAATATAAAGCCTTTAGTGCATCTGAAGCCTTAGATTATTAAATGAATCTTAATTATATATATTCAATTCGACAGGAACCATCATGAACGTGACCGATGTAGAAGTCACTGATCTAGAAAAATTAATAGCTGAAGTTGCAATATTTTTGGATCTGACGTGCAAAAGAATGCTGTATCCATTTTTGGAGAAAGATTGGATTTATCGATGGACAAAAAGGTAAGATTAAATACTAAGGAGCTCAAGAAGTTTAATAATGACCAATTTAATTCCTGTAAACAGCTACAAACGCGAGCAAGAAGCTCGTGAGTATGCGATGGCTTATGGTGATGAATTGATAGCTGCTTCAAAAAAGAGAAACAGAAAAGACAAGAGTTTAGTTGATGAAAATGGAAGTGTGATTGTGAAACGAGACGAAAAAGTCGAGTTTATTATTGATCAGCTGCTTAACCATGAAGAAAAATTCACGGACGAAGAAATTCGCGACCATGTTATGACTTTGTTGGCTACGGTAAAATTATTTTAATTCCAAAATTCTAAGTCCAATAATAATTGAGTAATTTCTAGTCATCAGAAACAACAACTCGATTTGTGGCAACGACACTGCTGCAACTAGCCATTAATCAGCAATACCAACAAAAAGTTTATGAAGAAATTGTTGACGTTTTTGGAGACAGTATAGAAAATATTGATTATGACAAGCTAAATGCCTGCAGATACCTTGAAATGGTTTTAAAAGAAGTTTTGCGACTCTTTACATCGGTTCCAATTTACCAACGTGAAACAATTGACAAGCTTGATATTGGAATCGGAAAGCCATTAGACAAAGGGGCAAAAATCATAATTTTTGCCTATATTTTGCATCGTCGTAAGGACTTGTGGGGTAAAAATTCTGGGGTCTTTGATCCAGAGAACTTTTCTTCTGAAAGAACTGCTGAGCGAGATCCTTATTGTTATCTTCCTTTTGGAGCAGGTAATTTGGGAATCTTAAAGAGCTAAATCTTGATCTTCTCTAATAAAAATTAGATCTGGCTTGTCAAACCAACTTTAACCAAGGAACTCTAACCTACAAAGTTTATTTTTCAGGTCCCAGAAACTGCATTGGAAACAGATTCGCGATGATTGCAGCAAAAACAGAGATCATAAGGTTACTCCATGCTTACAAATTTAGCACAAAGATTAAGGATACTGATATCAAGCAAGGACTGTCACTTACTAGTAGATTATCTGTTGATTATCTTATGTCCATTGAGAAAAGATGATTTGGATACCTTAGCGTTGTTAGACTTAATTGATTTTAAGCTTTAATTTTGACAAATAGATTATGATGAGTATTCATGATAGGGGCCGTTCACTTATGACGTCCAGGGGGGGGGGGGGGGGGGGTTGGTAGGTTCAGCGAGAAAAGAACAATAGAAATTCCACAATGATTCAGATTCGGAAAGAATGTTCACAAATTCCTTGTGCACAGTATTTTTCCGACACATTAGAAAATTGAAAGTTTTTGTCGTTCATTGCTCAAAAAATCAGTCCTTAATATAAAGAATAAACATGATTTTTATCAAAAGTTTATCAAAAAATAAACTTTGATCGCAAATATCTCGAAAACGGCATCAAACGGCATGTCCTCAGTAATATGGGAGATAGATTTAAGCTTAATTAATTGATTTATATAGGTTTCAAAGAGGTCTTTGGAAGACTTTTTAACTTATGAATAGTTTAAGTTTTGTAAAAATACTCAGATTTCAATTTCTTTTTTAAGACTTAATAAGCAGTTTTCTTTTGACTTGGTAGTTTTAATATGCAAATCTAAGCTTAACGTAGCTAACAACAGCTAGCAAGATAAAGAAATAACAACTTAAAGTAGATAAAATCAAAGTTTTTTTTCATACACAAATTGTAAACAAATTTTGGGTGAGATTAAATTAATGATTTCTGGAGTTAGACATCAAATTGGGACGAGATATTTTCACTGAATATGCCTCAAGTTAAGATCTTTAATCTGGCATTTAAAAGATGTAGTTTAATTAATATGTCATTTTTGAATTTTTGAACATTTTTTTCGAATCTGAATCATAGTGAATTCCTGAAAATCCATTGTTCTTTTTTGCAAAATGATCGTTAATTTCGGACATCATAAGTCAATTTAAACTAGTGTCGTCCAGCTTATACTCAACAGATCAGGAAACCTAGAATTGATAAACCTACTTTTGATCCAAAAGTCAAAAGATTTATGCTTTAATGAAATTCTAAAAATTTATTTCCATCAACTTTTGTTTTAATGACTAGCATTATGTATGCATCAATTAAGCAATAATCAATTTTCTTATCCACAAAACAAAATAATCTTATTTACTGTTTTTAACGTTTCTTAATTAAAAAAAAATAAATTACGTCCAAAAAGAAGAACAGCACTTTTCTATGAACTATGTATCAAAAAGCAGTAATTTTGAGAGAGATTCATAAATGCAATAACTTTTAATATTCATCACTTTCACCACGAATATTTTCAGCAATTTGTTGACACCGTCCAAGGAACAGTGAGTCATTCGGTCGTGGTAGAATTAATATCTCGTTTAACTCACCTCGAGACTGTCGTTGTGAACGTGACGCTTGTTGAGGCTGTGTATTCCTGACTTGATATTGTATGGGCTGTAAATTGTGTTGCATTTGTGAAACAGGCCGTGACGGAATTGGAGGTCGTAATGATAGGAGCTGAATTGCTGCCCATTCATCACTTGAATCGTTATTCGATGATTGAGATAATTGCTGTTGTTGTTGTACTGTCTGTCCAACTAGACCAGCTAGTTTTGGAATTACATTCATACGATTTTTATTTACATTTGTTGATGTAGGCATTGACCTGGAATGAATTGATTAATATCATTAAATTATATTTATAAAGATCCAGTGAGTCCTTACCATCGTCTATTAATGTCAAAATTGGATTCACTGTTTTTATTGTTTTCCATCGCATTTGCTTCACTCCATCGCCGATAAGACTGTTGTTGTAGACGAAATCTTTGTAATGCAGCTTGTGAATTTTGTGGAGCACTTGCTGAGCTTTGACAATCGACATTACTCGCTGATAAAGGTGATTGTTCATCAATGTCAATCAATGAATGTGCTAAATGATTCAGGAAAAATAGATATTTCTCATAAATATTTCCCATCGTCATACGAATTGTACATGATTCAGGCTGTGCAATCTCTTTATCAATGCAATTTGTTAGCTGTGATTTAAAATCCGCTTCAAAGCGTTCAGCCAACATAAACAAATTCCTAAGAAAAGCATTAAAACGTCATTTCTTTTTTGTTGGACATAAAATTACGAGGCTACTTACTGACTCCATTCCAATAAAGCTATATAACTCTTATTAATAGATGTCGATGGATCTACATGATTCATTATTTGTGCAATATTTTTAGTGGATATTGCCATATTTTCTACAGACTTAAAAAATTTAAGGATGAAAAAACAAATTCCGGCAAATAAGATTTTGTCACATCCATTTCTACTTAATTCGACTATACTCACATGAACAAAATTACTTAGATTACATTGGAAATCCTTAATAACTGAATCGTAGACTGCACACATTTTTAAAGCTTAATTTTCTAAATTCTATTTATTTATTTTTTAACCCAGTGCTTCTCAACCTAAAAGCTGTGGTTTCCTTCTTCATGAATTTCTGGATGTTGATCTTTTTGTACTTTCAATAAGAATTTTATTATTGTTGTGGATTTTCACTAATCACAAAATGTGTCATGAACCGAAAAAGGTTTTGAAGTCCCTGCCGATTTATATGCTGTGTAAAATGCAGTAAAGTGATTGAGTGTTGGTTGGGAAAAGTGACATTCGGACAGAAAAAATCAAAACATTGAGCAAAGTTCGTCCGCAAAAAAATAATTATTTTTCTTGATTTAATTGAATTAAAAACCTTTAAAATCGATATAATACTAGTTTAAGTTAATCAAATGAGTAAAAGAGGACATCAAGGACAGGTCTATCATCGAGGAATCGAAAAATAAAGGCATTAAATAAGGAAAATAATGCAAGAAATCTAAAAATAAATATAAGATTGTGATAAAGAGAAGAAAAATTAAATCCACGTATATGTTATGCTTACAAAAAGCAACGACGACGATCAGAACAGTTCAGACATCAATCCAGTTAAAGACAAAATTATCAGCGATGAGAATCAATTAGATGTATCAAGCCGTAGTTCATCGATAGATAAATTAAATTCAAATAGTCCAATTATGAAAATATTTTCCTATTCAAAAGAATTGGTGCTGATTTTTGCTTTTATACTAACAACAATTGCAACGATACAGAACAATTCGGGACCTAAAATTACTCGCTCACCGCCTCCTGTTCCGTTCTTCTCAAAAGGATCATTCGTTGAGGATTACTATTATGGACAGCTATATCCAACACAAACTAAAGTGACGTTATCTGAACTCTCCTTTGTATTCTATTATGCAGCTTGGTCCGCAGAGAGTCAAAATGCAAGATCTGCTTATGAGCATGTTTCTCGACTGTTCTACAAAGAGGCTTATTTCTCAGCTATAAATTGCTGGCAACCAAATTCAGAATGTCGACTTCAGTACAGCAAAATCATCAGTTGGCCCATTCTTATGGCATATACAAGGTAAGATCAATGTTATATTAGCTTCCGTGTGGAACACGGAAGGTGTTTCTTTATGTCGTTCAAATTTTGTCACCCAACCTACAGCTCGCAACTCAAAATCAATCATAATGATATGAATATCAATAGAAAGCTACAAAGGTCTAGTAGAGCGGAAATTTAAGCGCTTTGCGTGAATCGTCTTAGTTCTCGAGATATAGTGAAAATAGTGTTAAATCTGGTGGATTATAAGTAAATCCAATGGATTAAAAATTAAATCAGTAATATCTTTCAATGATATCTTTAATTAAGATATAAGGAGAATAATCGACCATTAAAAGAATTTCATTTTATTTGGTTTCGAGTGGGTTTAAGAAATATTTATGTAAATCTTGATTAATTTCAAAAAAATATCGATTTTATATCTATATATACATTCTTTATCATTTATAATACCTGAACATGTTTTAAAATGCAATTTAAAGCATTTTTGGTTTTCAATCATAGTAGGCTATTTTCAAAAAAATATCGATTTTTTATCTATATATACATTCTTTATCATTTATAAGACCAAGATATGTTTTAAAATGCAATTTAAAGTATTTTTGGTTTTCGATCATAGTAGGCTATTTTCAAAAAAATATCGATTTTATATCTATATATTGTAGCGATTTACTTTAAATTGGATTCTTTAATGCACAATTAAAAAGCCCCGATGATTTGATAGAAGACCTTCTCTTAATTTATTTATATCCAATAAGAAGAAAAACCTCTCTAAAAATAACATAATTCAATTGTAGTGACAAAATTATGAGAAACTACTTAAAATAACTTACATGAATATTTTCCAGTAACATTCACTAGAGGTTTGTGTCTTATTTATAATTCTGCCTATTTTAATATCCTATAAGTGAGATCCAGTTAAAAACTGTTTAGGTAGCGATATAAATAAGAATCTTACTTTAGAAATTAAGGTTATCAACAACCTTTTTTTGAGAATCACCCAAATTAAAGTTATTTAACTTTGTTTACCTAAAATTACATGATCTCTATTAATATATGTGCTTTCTAACATGTATAATATTTAATATTACACTATTTACGACTTGCTGTGACGTAAAAAATAGCAAACGTTCGTCTGGATCTTCTTTTTATGTTTTCTACGTATATTAATTGTTTATAATTAGTACTTTCATTTATATTTGGCACTAATTTAATCAATAATTACCTAAATTTTGTCCAGTTGATAACAATTAATTAAATAAACTTAGAATCTATATAAACGTGTTCAAATATCTCAATCAAATAATACAATGTGATAACTGAGATAATTGATTACAATTTCAAATTTTTGAAAACCGTTAAAATTTGATTATCTTGGAAATCTCAAATTTACTACCACAAATTACCCGTCTTCTCTTAGAAAAATTTTCTAAAATTTTTCGAAAGACTACATTTAACAAAAAAAACTGAATTCAATTAACATTTAAATTAAACTGATGACTTTAACTATTCATCACTATCTTCATAGCTCATTCTCAATAAGTCATTTAATTCTGGAACTACATTCTTAATACTTCTTACAACTAAAGTTGATTTTGCTCCAAAAATATCCTCGAGTTCATATGTATTATGTTCATACCTCTATTTCTGATAATTTTGACAGGCTGGTACTTCGCCGCTAATTTGCTCATCCAATTATGAGATCCTTCGTGTGGTCCAACAACAGCATAATCACTTTGATTATTTTGATATGATGATTGCACTGTGTTCGTATTATTTCGAGTAGATGAGGAAGTAGCAGGACCAGAATTTCTATTCTGAATTACTGGAACTCGACTAGAATTTGTTGGAAACTGCTGCGGAATTTGATATTGTGGAATAAAATAAGGTGACATTTGTGGATGATACTGAGGTACATAATACACTTGTGATCCAGTTGATGATGTTGTATAATATCCACTCAATGGAGTTTGATACATTGATACTATTCTTGTATTTCGTGATGTGCTCGCTAAATTATCAATTTTGTTACAAATTTCAACATATTTTGAATTGATGCTGTCCACTATCTCTTGAATTCTATCCCACTCTTCAGATTCACTTACAATTGTTCGTCTCAAGCAACACATAGCAAAATCCAATTGAACACCAATTAAATGAGGATTTGTATTTGACAATTCCAGTTTTTCTACTTGTTCAAATACATCATTTATTGTTATTGTGATTTCATCTACTGATGCTCGGTGATGCATTATAACTGGTGTCAAATCTTGTCCATTTTGAACCCATTTTTCGTAATCACATTGAAGTTGCGCATTCATAATTTCCTTTTGTTCATTAGAAATAGGTTCCTCTCTTGCTCCATTAACAAGACCTCTCAAATATGCTTCTGTAAATATTTCAAGTTTGACGAATTCTACTGCGAACGACATGACTTATTGATGCTGTATTAACTTGATGATTGTATTAACTTAATAATCGTATTAACTGGATGTTGATTTTGTGCAATTATTGAGTTCGACGCCAGCTCAGGTCTCCCAGGTGATATTTTGTAGCGATTTACTTTAAATTGGATTCTTTAATGCACAATTAAAAAGCCCCGATGATTTGATAGAAGACCTTCTCTTAATTTATTTATATCCAATAAGAAGAAAAACCTCTCTAAAAATAACATAATTCAATTGTAGTGACAAAATTATGAGAAACTACTTAAAATAACTTACATGAATATTTTCCAGTAACATTCACTAGAGGTTTGTGTCTTATTTATAATTCTGCCTATTTTAATATCCTATAAGTGAGATCCAGTTAAAAACTGTTTAGGTAGCGATATAAATAAGAATCTTACTTTAGAAATTAAGGTTATCAACAACCTTTTTTTGAGAATCACCCAAATTAAAGTTATTTAACTTTGTTTACCTAAAATTACATGATCTCTATTAATATATGTGCTTTCTAACATGTATAATATTTAATATTACACTATTTACGACTTGCTGTGACGTAAAAAATAGCAAACGTTCGTCTGGATCTTCTTTTTATGTTTTCTACGTATATTAATTGTTTATAATTAGTACTTTCATTTATATTTGGCACTAATTTAATCAATAATTACCTAAATTTTGTCCAGTTGATAACAATTAATTAAATAAACTTAGAATCTATATAAACGTGTTCAAATATCTCAATCAAATAATACAATGTGATAACTGAGATAATTGATTACAATTTCAAATTTTTGAAAACCGTTAAAATTTGATTATCTTGGAAATCTCAAATTTACTACCACAATATACATTCTTTATCATTTATAAGACCAAGATATGTTTTAAAATGCAATTTAAAGCATTTTTGGTTTTCAATCATAGTAGGCTATTTTCAAAAAAATATCGATTTTATATCTATATAAACATTCTTTATCATTTATAATACCTGAATATGTTTTAAAATGCAATTTAAAGCATTTTTGGTTTTCAATCATAGTAGGCTATTTTCAAAAAAATATCGATTTTATATCTATATATACATTTTTTATCATTTATAAGACCAAGATATGTTTTAAAATGCAATTTAAAGCATTTTTGGTTTTCAATCATAGTAGGCTATTTTCAAAAAAATATCGATTTTATATCTATATATACATTTTTTATCATTTATAAGACCAAGATATGTTTTAAAATGCAATTTAAAGCATTTTTGGTTTTCAATCATAGTAGGCTATTTTCAAAAAAATATCGATTTTATATCTATATATACATTTTTTATCATTTATAAGACCAAGATATGTTTTAAAATGCAAATTAAAGCATTTTTGGTTTTCAATCATAGTAGGCTATTTTCAAAAAAATATCGATTTTATATCTATATATACATTTTTTATCATTTATAAGACCAAGATATGTTTTAAAATGCAAATTAAAGCATTTTTGGTTTTCAATCATAGTAGGCTATTTTCAAAAAAATATCGATTTTTTATCTATATATACATTTTTTATCATTTATAAGACCAAGATATGTTTTAAAATGCAATTTAAAGCATTTTTGGTTTTCAATCATAGTAGGCTATTTTCAAAAAAATATCGATTTTATATCTATATATACATTTTTTATCATTTATAAGACCAAGATATGTTTTAAAATGCAATTTAAAGCATTTTTGGTTTTCAATCATAGTAGGCTATTTTCAAAAAAATATCGATTTTTTATCTATATATACATTCTTTATCATTTATAAGACCAAGATATGTTTTAAAATGCAATTTAAAGCATTTTCGGTTTCGATCATAGTAGGCTATTTTCAAAAAAATATCGATTTTATATCTATATATACATTTTTTATCATTTATAAGACCAAGATATGTTTTAAAATGCAAATTAAAGCATTTTTGGTTTTCAATCATAGTAGGCTATTTTCAAAAAAATATCGATTTTATATCTATATATACATTTTTTATCATTTATAAGACCAAGATATGTTTTAAAATGCAAATTAAAGCATTTTTGGTTTTCAATCATAGTAGGCTATTTTCAAAAAAATATCGATTTTATATCTATATATACATTCTTTATCATTTATAATACCTGAATATGTTTTAAAATGCAAATTAAAGCATTTTTGGTTTTCAATCATAGTAGGCTATTTTCAAAAAAATATCGATTTTTTATCTATATAAACATTCTTTATCATTTATAATACCTGAATATGTTTTAAAATGCAAATTAAAGCATTTTTGGTTTTCAATCATAGTAGGCTATTTTCAAAAAAATATCGATTTTATATCTATATATACATTCTTTATCATTTATAATACCTGAATATGTTTTAAAATGCAAATTAAAGCATTTTTGGTTTTCAATCATAGTAGGCTATTTTCAAAAAAATATCGATTTTTTATCTATATAAACATTCTTTATCATTTATAATACCTGAATATGTTTTAAAATGCAAATTAAAGCATTTTTGGTTTTCAATCATAGTAGGCTATTTTCAAAAAAATATCGATTTTATATCTATATATACATTTTTTATCATTTATAAGACCAAGATATGTTTTAAAATGCAATTTAAAGCATTTTTGGTTTTCAATCATAGTAGGCTATTTTCAAAAAAATATCGATTTTATATCTATATATACATTTTTTATCATTTATAAGACCAAGATATGTTTTAAAATGCAATTTAAAGCATTTTTGGTTTTCAATCATAGTAGGCTATTTTCAAAAAAATATCGATTTTTTATCTATATAAACATTCTTTATCATTTATAATACCTGAATATGTTTTAAAATGCAAATTAAAGCATTTTTGGTTTTCAATCATAGTAGGCTATTTTCAAAAAAATATCGATTTTATATCTATATATACATTTTTTATCATTTATAAGACCAAGATATGTTTTAAAATGCAATTTAAAGCATTTTTGTTTTTCAATCATAGTAGGCTATTTTCAAAAAAATATCGATTTTATATCTATATATACATTTTTTATCATTTATAAGACCAAGATATGTTTTAAAATGCAATTTAAAGCATTTTTGGTTTTCAATCATAGTAGGCTATTTTCAAAAAAATATCGATTTTATATATATATATATACATTTTTTATCATTTATAATACCGGAATATGTTTTAAAATGCAATCTAAAGCATTTTTGGTTTTCAATCATAGTAGGCTATTTTCAAAAAAATATCGATTTTATATCTATATATACATTTTTTATCATTTATAAGACCAAGATATGTTTTAAAATGCAATTTAAAGCATTTTTGGTTTTCAATCATAGTAGGCTATTTTCAAAAAAATATCGATTTTATATCTATATATACATTTTTTATCATTTATAAGACCAAGATATGTTTTAAAATGCAATTTAAAGCATTTTTGGTTTTCAATCATAGTAGGCTATTTTCAAAAAAATATCGATTTTATATCTATATATACATTTTTTATCATTTATAAGACCAAGATATGTTTTAAAATGCAATTTAAAGCATTTTTGGTTTTCAATCATAGTAGGCTATTTTCAAAAAAATATCGATTTTTTATCTATATAAACATTCTTTATCATTTATAATACCTGAATATGTTTTAAAATGCAAATTAAAGCATTTTTGGTTTTCAATCATAGTAGGCTATTTTCAAAAAAATATCGATTTTTTATCTATATAAACATTCTTTATCATTTATAATACCTGAATATGTTTTAAAATGCAAATTAAAGCATTTTTGGTTTTCAATCATAGTAGGCTATTTTCAAAAAAATATCGATTTTATATCTATATATACATTTTTTATCATTTATAAGACCAAGATATGTTTTAAAATGCAATCTAAAGCATTTTTGGTTTTCAATCATAGTAGGCTATTTTCAAAAAAATATCGATTTTTTATCTATATAAACATTCTTTATCATTTATAATACCTGAATATGTTTTAAAATGCAATTTAAAGCATTTTTGGTTTTCAATCATAGTAGGCTATTTTCAAAAAAATATCGATTTTAGATCTATATAAGCATTCTTTATCATTTATAATACCCAGATATATTTTAAAATGCAATTTAAAGCATTTTTGGTTTTCAATCATAGTAGGCTATTTTCAAAAAAATATCGATTTTAGATCTATATAAGCATTCTTTATCATTTATAATACCTAGATATGTTTTGAAATGCAATTTAAAGCATTTTCGGTTTCGATCATAGTAGGCTATTTTCAAAAAAATATCGATTTTATATCTATATAAGCATTCTTTATCATTTATAATACCCAGATATATTTTAAAATGCAATTTAAAGCATTTTTGGTTTTCAATCATAGTAGGCTATTTTCAAAAAAATATCGATTTTATATCTATATAAGCATTCTTTATCATTTATAATACCCAGATATATTTTAAAATGCAATTTAAAGCATTTTTGGTTTTCAATCATAGTAGGCTATTTTCAAAAAAATATCGATTTTAGATCTATATAAGCATTCTTTATCATTTATAATACCTAGATATGTTTTGAAATGCAATTTAAAGCATTTTCGGTTTCGATCATAGTAGGCTATTTTCAAAAAAATATCGATTTTATATCTATATAAGCATTCTTTATCATTTATAATACCCAGATATATTTTAAAATGCAATTTAAAGCATTTTTGGTTTTCAATCATAGTAGGCTTTTTTCAAAAAAATATCGATTTTATATCTATATATACATTCTTTATCATTTATAAGACCAAGATATGTTTTAAAATGCAATTTTAAGCATTTTTGGTTTTCAATCATAGTAGGCTTTTTTCAAAAAAATATCGATTTTATATCTATATATACATTTTTTATCATTTATAAGACCAAGATATGTTTTAAAATGCAATTTAAAGCATTTTTGGTTTTCAATCATAGTAGGCTATTTTTAAAAAAATATCGATTTTATATCTATATATACATTTTTTATCATTTATAAGACCAAGATATGTTTTAAAATGCAATTTAAAGCATTTTTGGTTTTCAATCATAGTAGGCTATTTTCAAAAAAATGTGGTTTTCGATCATAGTAGGCTTTTTTAAAGAAAAATATCGATTTTATATATACTAGCTTCCGCGTGGATCACGGAAGGTGTTTCTTTATGTTGTTCAAATTTTTTCACCCAACCTACAGCTCGCAACTTGAAATCAATCATATTGATATGTATAGGCGCTTTGCGTGAATCTTCTTAGTTCTCGAGATATAGTGAAAATAGTGTTTAATCTGGTGCATTATAAATAAATCCAATGGACTAAAAATTAAATCAGTAATATCTTTTAATTTTCAAATCCATTTTTTCCGTGTGATATCTTAAATTAAAGGTAATTATAAGGAGAATAATCGACCATTGAAAGAATTTATGTAAATCTTGATTAATTTTAAACCGGATTTGAGGGCACCGGATTTGCACAAAATGTTCCTAAAATGTCAAAAATGCATTCAAATCTTAATCCAGTAATACGGATTAACTAGTGCTTGATCTCCATCATTAATCCTGACTTGTTTATTGTATTGAAATAATTTGGAATATTTACACCGTATTTATTTTGGTTCTCGTTCTTATGCAATTCTATTGGTTTTGTTCAGATTGAAAAATCAGTTTTTGCATTTTTGAGAAAACGAAGCAAAATTGGTTATAAAAGGTTCCAGAAGAAAAGTTTGTGTTTAAAAATTCACATCTTCTGCAAAAAATAAGATTTCAATTTGGCATTGCTTAGAAAATCACAAAATACGCTTTCTGTAAGCAAGCAAACAAGCATGCAAGTTAATCATCAAGAAATCTCAATAACGAGACATTGTAGAGACTTCTGGTTTTCTACATTTGATCCGTGTTGCTCTATAGAAGAGCTGTATTGTTTTTGGGCAAGGTAGGAATAGCCGTTGCTTCAGAAAAAGCAAAAAACTTTCCTTTCTTACGAATTTTTCAAAACAAAAGTTGACTATGATTTTTATAAAATTCAACTTTGGATGAAAATTTTTTTTAAAAAACTTTTAAAGAATGTTCGTTAAGCTTTAAACCTTCAAACATATGATTAGCGAAGCTCAGCTGACTCGCTAGCTTCATACCTTCAAACTTATGTTGGGCAAATCTTGGTCTATCCATAAGACTTTTGATGGTACGGTGTGAATATATCCACATTGGGTTTACCTGATACACTAATTTTCGTTTTGTGATATATATAAAAGAACTGTAATCTAACATAAGTCAAATGCGGAAGCTAGTGACTTTCTACGTAAGTCGTGTTTTTGCAATTCCAAACAAGCTTCTTGATATTAATTATTTTATTAATCAGGAATGGGTTTGGTGTGCAATATCAGAAGAATCTATGGACGGAATCGGCACTTACGAAATTCGTAACATCAATGTTGAATCCAATAAGTCGTTTGACATCACCAGAAGAGTTGCTTGACTTCATGTCTAGTCGTGATTGTGTAGTTGTTGCATTTATTGATCATGAAGCTCATCCCAAGCAGTACAGTTCCTTTTATCGAGCCGCACTTAAATTTATTGAAAAGGATCCATTCAGTGAAGTTGGTTTTGGAATTGTTCTTGGACAAACAGGCACAGAATTTGGAGTTGATCAAGTTCCAGCTATTCGTGCATATCTTTGGAATGAGACATTAGAATATAATGGAAATATAACATGGATGAGTAAGGACATAACAAAATGGATTCAAGAAAATATCCAGCAAGTGTCACTTTATTTGTCTCCACCGGGAATCAAGTCTTCATCTTTAGCACCATACATGAAACAAGGACCTATTTTATTGCTATTTACCCCAAGAAATTTGTATTTAGATTTTTCTGATTCGTATGTGATGTTAAGGCAAATTGGAATGGAATATTATAATTGTAAGGATGATGACTGGGTACATGAAGTTGCCCGTGACTATCTGTTGCATAAACGCATACAAAATCGTGAAAAATTAAAAGAATTACAAAAACAATGCTACAAACAAATTCACATGTCTTATCAGTCAAATGAACCAATGATCAGTAAGTGCAATAAGCCACTGACATCGAGTGTGTCCTATTTGAGTGTTTTGAATGCATCCAAGAATCTAGATTCGAAGAAAATGTCAAACTTTTGTGAATTAAATGAGCCAATGTCATCAAAATGTGAATGTTTATCCGACAGCTGTATAGAACCGAGCCACAACATGTATACATCCGAAAGTAATAGCTTTGCTTCAAACAGTAAATACAGCACATCAATGCTGGATAATAAGAATGATGAAAAGTCACCGGAAGCAATAAACAAGTACAATTTAAGAAGGGATTGTCAAATGATCAGACTAGCTGAAGAACGAAGTGAAATACAGTTTATAGACGATAAAGACACAACACCATTAAAATTAATTTCTGGATTAGGCTGCAAATCAAATAAAACATTCACACTTATATCTATGGACAGTGTTAGTTTTCATACATTTGCTGAACGTATAGGTGTTGATATTTTAGAACTTGAAAATAAGACAGCAGCAATGATTATGGATCAAGATAATGAGTCAACATATTTACTGGACGAGCCAGTATCGCTAAGCTCATTATCGAGATTCATTTACAGTTTTCATCGTGACGGTCTTCAAAGATTTCTCAGAACCAATAGCATCCAATACAGACACACTCATTTCTTTGATATCAATCAGTTCCTCGTCGTTAAGTCACAAGAAACTATAAAAATTGAAAATAATGAGTTTTCAAACAAGAAAAAATGTCGTGCAAGTGATGTTAAGCAGGAAGATAGCCACATTGTGATACGAGAAATTAATTCTGAAGATTTCGATTCTGTTGTTATCAAGTCTAATAAGGTATAGAAGTGATCTACAATTTAATATTTAAATTAACAAATTATTTGTACATCCACAGACTGTTGTTATTTTATTTTACTCCACAAACTGTGCCTTCTGCTCGATGATGTCTCACAGTCTACTGACGGTGTCAAGAATACTATACAAAATGCCAAATATCGAGTTTGTGAGAATTGAGGGAGATAAGAATGATTTAGCATGGTAATTATATGATAATTTGGCATTATTAGCTTTAATTGGGTTTCGAAAATAGAAATGAGGGGAATTTCAGAAATTTCTGTCCTAAAAACCTATCAGAGTCAAATTAGAATCCCTCTTCATATCACTGATCTCTACTTAATAATCTTCTTAACAGGCAATACACAATGGCTGAATTTCCATCATTACTAGTCTTCCCAAGTCATTCAAAGTCAGACAGCAGAAAGTTCTCATCAAAAATGCCAATAAATGTCACAAACGTTTTAGGTTTCGTATTAGCAAATCTAAATCGATCGTACAGATTATTAGGCTTGGTTATGGCATGTAACTACAAGGTAATTTCTATAAAGTTCCAAGAATGTGTCAAGTCTTTAATTTTATTTTTCCACATTATTTAAAAATTCATTCTTTCTTCATAATAATAACAGAGGCAGAACTCAACCAACGACTGCATATTAGCAATTCAGGAGGAAATAACAGACACAATCTCGTTTGCATTACGCGAATGGCGGAAACATTCAAGAAAACGTTCAGCAACACTGCGTATAATAAAACAGCTGAAAGAAATTTACCTCAGACTATTTAGAATAGAAAACTCATGCAATTTCATAGAAGTTGAGCGAGATGTATTCCATTTAATAAGACGATGGCAGAAGGCAAAAATTTTCTGATGAATACAGGCTGATTAAACTCTTTTTTTTTTTGATATTCTGTAATCTTATTTGGTTCTGAGAAAGTTTGTGGTAATTTGTGATCATTATATGGACTTGTAAGTTAAAGATAAAACTGTTTATATTAAGGTTGGTTGTTTTCTTTATTTTTGACAATTATCTATAAGAATAAGGTTGTCAGGACTCGTATTTTCATCATTCAGATGTTCTAAGTCTCGTTTTGATGTTTTACAAAATTCTAAAAAGAGCTAGTTATCAACATTAGTCGAAGATCGATCTATTCTTGGATATACCGAGCAACTCACTACTGCTGTCTATCCTGATAATGTTTCACTTGTTTCCAACAAACTCTCATGAACTTGAAGGTCTTTTCAAATACTCATTATAGCCCAATTTTCATAATAATGAATGGAATTACAAACTTGTTTATTTTGTCGAACTACACAAAAACTACCAAAAAAAATCTCACATTAACCTCTAAAAGAGAACTTAATTGACCATTTGATATGAAGGCATTTCCATATATTGATTACAGCTAATGGGTTTTGATAAAAACTTAACTTAATTACACATTATCATTCACTTTCCTGTGAACACACGCAGTGCATGGAAACAAAATTGTTGCAAAATTGCGTCCTAAATCGAAAATGATATAAGAAAGGGAATTTTGAAAAGAAGCCAAAAAGGCATTAATCATCATTCCATAAATTCCAATTCTTATTTCATTCATTCATTCATTCATTTTGTTAATAATGTTATTACTATTGTGAAAGCGAGTAAAAGAATTAATTCAGACTGAAACAATAGAGACCTTCTTTATACTTTGAAAATTCCTTTAATGTGTCCTGGCGCGCTTTTTTTTTTTTGTGCATTATTAATGAAGGTTATTGTCGTCGTAGTCGTTCACATCAAAAAGCAGTACGGCTAAAATGCTCAACATAGGCATTACTTTACAAACATGAATTTATATTCTCATAAAGTTTCAAGTTCATGCTTGTTTTGCTGGGGTGGTAAAAATGTTAATTCTATTGTTACATATGTATTCGGGGCTGTTAAGATCCTTAACTGAAATTTTGTTGACATTTCTTAATATTTTATGAATAGACTTATAAGGTTGGTTCATAAATGATGTCTAGCTTTTAGATGCACATAAGGAGGTTGTCTTTGGGTTTGTGATAATTCAAAGGTTTAAAGTAAAAATCATGGACATCATTTTTACACGACTCAAGCTGTTCATAATAAATTTATGATATTTGGTGTTTACTTGACTGTAAAATTTTGTTATGTAATAAACATTTCAGGAGAAAGATCGAACTTGTTTCAAAGAAGAATCAATCATTAGTATTCGAATTCTAGTAACTAGAAACTGTTATCAGATTAATCAAATCTTTGATATAGAAAGGAATAAAGCTGATCCAATAAAGCTACAAACCGAAATAAAACTCAGATTATGAATATAGTGACTAAAGTTGATTGAAGACCGAACCAACCATTCAAATGCTCGATCCAAAATTAATGGAGCTTTTTCTAAGCAGATTCAGCCACAATCAATATCAGAAAAGTGCTAATCATCACGACTTTCACCTATTCGAGGCAATAAAGCACCGCTGCAAATCAAATATCTCTTTCACACGAGGTGAATGTCCTTCAAAAATTCCACAAAGTTCCTTAAATCGACAAAATTCATTCCTTAAAGAAAAGTTGGAAAACTTTCAAGGTTTTTTAAAAATTTCAATGGAATCCATAAACTTTGCCAAATTTTCCACAAAGCACAAAAATTCCATTGAAAAGAATTGAGACAGTAATTAGTCACAAACAAGGAACTTAAGCCTTCAAATTTATCAATAAATGGGAAGCAATACATAACTCATTAAATTGATTTATAGAATAAAGCTCAATGTTTACAGAAACGATACGGCATGTCCACCTACTCACATAACCGAAAAAGAAGCAAGTCCCACATATAATTAAAATCAATGACTACCATAAGACTCTATGATTGTTTATCATTAAGCATTAAATATTGTATACTCATATACACAACAGCATAAACATGCAATCATGTACTGTGATGATTGAAAATAATGTGACGGAAATTCCCGAACAAGATACATGAAGTCAACGCACATGCAACTTACTGAATGAATGAGTGTGAAAGTGAGTCAATCCTTATGCCTTGATATAAGCCATATGTATGTCCACCTGACCCAAACAATACAAAAAAAAATCTTACATACATAGTATGAAAATTTAATGATTTTTGATGAAAGATAAATATTATCATTCATAATTCCATGTATAGTTCCATCATACCATGACATGAAAATCGATTCCTAACTTTTCCATAACACACGTTATTCTACGTTTCGGCATGAGCAGCTAGTTGAGATATGGACAATCATTATTGACTAAAGCGCAAAGCTTGAAGCATTGAATTAAGCTATGTTCAAAATGATTTAAATCCTTATGATATCCTATATTTAAGCCTGAATATTAGGAATAGTCGGTACTCTTTGAAAACTTCAGAAGAAAATCTCTTAAAATCTCTTAAAACTCAATACACGAATTTTGAAGACATAGATAGCAATTATGTCATTCAAACTTAATAAGCAATGGAACTTCAGTCATCGATCAGCCAAAGTGAGAGCAAAATCGACTTATTCCTCTCAAAAAACTAGCTAAAAACAGTTGTAATGAGGAAAAAAAGAGAGAGAAAATATTCATTCATTCATTTATTGGACACGGCCAAGAGCAGTCGTTAAAATAGTAGTGCAAGTTCAGGACTGCAATATTTTATGAAAAGCTTCTTCAATGCTATTTCATATTTGGTGGTAAACGAAAGCATTTCTTTTAAAGGAAGTACGAAAAAAAATCATTTTGAAAAGTGAAAACGGACGGAGATAGTCTTTATAGTTCTTGTGCTGCTTATAATTATTGTGTGCATATTTATTACAGTCAAGATTAAAAGTGCAAGTCAGTGATAAAGAAAAATTAAATAATTTTGTCGATGATGTAATGGGTTGTGGATTTTCAAATTCATCAGCAACTGTCAGGGAGGCGAATAGTCCTGATTTTCAATCAAGTGCCGATACATTTCATAGGAATCGTACAAAAGTAAGCTAATCATCATAATTAAAGTGTATGAATGAGGAACAAAAAATATTTGTTGTCCGTGAAATTTGCAATTTTGAAATTGAATTTCAATGAAGTAAGAACGTGGTGATTATTTGCATGTTGCATGCCTTCAATGCTGTTTAATTTCGCATATTTTGTTTGAAAATTTGAATAGAAAACAAGTAAAATAGTCATTAAATGTGGATTCATCATGAGTCATTCAATTATAGACTAGCTACTTACTTTTTGGATATTCAAAGAATTTGTTGAAATATATTAAAGTGTAGAGATGCACAGTGAAGTCATTTAACTTCATAAAAAGATCTAGTGAGTCTGTTTATCCAGTGAGTATTATTACAGCTGATCCAATAAAATATTGCTGATCAAATAACACAATCAACTAAGGTTATTGTAGAAACTTCATATGAGACACTATAAACGTCTGTGGGACATACTCATTTATTCAATGATTAGTTTAGGAATCGTTTAGAAGTGACGAAACTTTGATAATTAGGGATTTCAATTTTTGTATAGAAGTTCCTAGAGCTTCCTTAAAATACTTGGTTGTTGCGTGACGTAATAAGCAAACGATCCCATTTTGTTCCAATCGAAATCCAAAATATTTTAAAAATATCATTAAAGTTAATTAACTATGCTTTTAACAAATTGTGAAGCAATTATTATTTTATATACCAATCTGATATGCTCAACTGACTGGAGGCAACAGCGATCTCATGTCAATTCGAATTAAGCTCTCTCGATTCCAAACTGTCTGTTCATATATTTAGAGAATATTTTACGTTTTTGAGATTTACGAACAAAACCAGAACAACCACAATTCAATAATTACTGACTAATCCACTCTAAAATTATCCAATTCAAATTTCAAGCCATCATGATGATAGTTCATTCCTGAATATCAATTAGTATACAAGCTTAACAAATTGCAATAATTAAACAGTTCATGCACAAGAGAAAAGGAGTAAAACATAAAAGATTGGACATAAAGTCGTCATCGATCATGTTTTTGTCAATTCAAATATCCATTTTTCACGTTTCCTCATCCATTTAAACAGCCTTGATTTCCATAAAAAATTCATTAATCATGTCTACAACTACAAAAGCTTCAAGAGAAACAAATCGACTGACTAATTACCATTTTTTTACCTCTTTTTTTTCATTTCCTCATAAATGCACTCTCTCACAACAGACTAAGGAAACAATGATTCAGGCGTTCAGTCGCATAGACGATGAAATTTTAGCGCTCGAAAATTTATCGCCAGGATCAAGACTAACAACAGGTAGTAATAGCTGTATTAATTAAGTCTGATAGTATTCAGTTAATTAATTTATTACGTCGTTATTATCATTGATATAGTAATATTTTTGAGCTTACTTTCCAAGTTGAAGGAGGTGCTTTTGCCTGTCTTTTGTCTTTTTGTCGAGTTTTCTGTTCATTGGCCTGTCTTTAAGCTTTGGTCTAGCTTCACTTTAAAATTTTTATTTTCTTTGTTATAATGATTGAAATATCGGAAGAGCAACAGGACTTTTGATGGGAATCGAACTATCAGACTTACCATAATATCGCTTGAGATGCCAAATTTCACTCTAATCCACTCAAACATAATCTAATTAGCTCAAATAAGCTCGAAAATTTGGAATTTCAGATAGACTTAAGAATGCACTTTAATCATTCACAATCTCCCTCAGTTTTACTAATTTCTAAATTCCTACCCATCTTCTCGTCCAATTTCAACTTCCGAAAACAATTAAATAATCAGCCGAGGCATGGATAGACCACTTACAGAGCATAAAGCTCAAAATTGATGACACGACAATGACAATTCAGTCAGAAAGATTAAATACTATGGAGCCAATAAGTGAAATTGATGAGACGACTCTAGATGACCTGAGTACGCCATCAACAGCTGACCGTGATCAAGGTGATCTCATCAAGGTAAAAAAAGTATGTAAATGTTCGTGAATTGGTTTAATCGATGTTGTCAAAATTAATGGAGAACATTTTTGCATTTTTTTCCTCGAAAAATTTTCGTTCTGTTCTGTCTATTCCAAAAATTGTTTATAGCTTGCTGTTAAATTACAAGTTGCATTCGACATTAAAAAGGCTTCCGAGAATGAAGAGTTTCTAGCACGAATAAGTCGCAGTATGATGGAAGTTGAACTTCAACGATTAAAAATGGACATGGTTGATCATGCTAGAAAGCGTGTAGATACATTATCAGATTCATTCAATAATCTCCGGCAGTTGTACTTAGAACAAGATGGTTTAATAGCTTCTGTATCTGGTGGAACTTACAATTCATCATTGGAACAAGAACTAGACAGTGAATTAGAAGCAGTACGTGAAATACGTGACAGATTATCTGGTGTAGCTGAACAATGGCGTACAGCAAGTAATTTAATGGCTGCAGCTGCAAAAGGCAGCCTTCAAGCTTATGAATATTGGTGTCTCATTGAACAGTCGAAAATTGCACCAGAACGAATTCAATTAGCATTAGATACACGAACGGCGTGTTTTAGCTCATTAGTAGCACTCGATTGTGCCCAACAGTCTCTTCCACAAGTTGAAATACCATTTATCACATTACGACAATGCAGTGCTGTGCGCCATAGTCTCATTTATATTTTGACGGATATGGCAAATGAAAATCGATATAAGCATACGAAAAATGTTTTAGAAGCTTATCAAACAAATACAGCGAAGGCCGTTGAGTGGCTCTTTGCAACATATAAGAAAACTCTGGATGAAGACCTTACGACACAAATTGATAATATTAAAGTGTTGGCATTTCGGCTACGACGCGAGCGGGTTAGGCACTTTAAAGAAATTGTGGGAAATAAAATGTACACTCGGCCTTTCATTAAAATGCCATCATAAATTTTTTTTCGTGGGAAAGTATCTTGTTGCTGTTAAACTTTTTTTACTATTCTTAAAAAAAGGGAAAAACGTGCTTTAATTATAGATAATGCTACAACTAGATGATTAATATGAGCGCTTTAACATACAATAAAATTATATAATTAGGATTAAATAATAATTCAACATTAAATGTCAATAATTAATTTGCTTACAGTTTTTTAGGATATCCTGTTGGGTGTCAAAATGTTTAAACGCGAATTTCCTTTATGATTATACATAATTCTTAATTAAATATTAATCTAGAGACCACGTGAAGTCGTTAAAAGATAATAATATTGTCATTTATTCTTATAATTTAATGCGCATAGTTTGACAGCAGGCTGTCAATTATGAGGCATATGAATAATTTTGTGCACGTGATAAGCTAGTTAAAAATGTTGACATGATTGTGGAATCGATGCGCATTTGAGTGATTCTAGAAACATCTTGCTAAGATTCAATTCAGTTCCATGCTAATTTATTCTTATTGCCAACATGATCTGCTTTCCAAGCAGTCCAATGTTCTATATTTGTGATCAGTCATCAACCCCAGCAGCAAAAGCCACAAAACTTATTAAAGCCTTGCCTCAAAATTATCATCACTAGCGCCATCTATTGAAAGTAAAACTAAGTTCGCCAAAAAAATAAATTTTTTCACATGAATTTTTATTCAATTTGACTTTTTAACATTTTTACAAGTTCCATTGTTGGATTGTTGGATATTGAAATTCCTTTATTGTTTCGTATAAATTATGTAAAAAAAATTATAATTATCCCATATTGATAAGAGTTTTGAGCTTTACATTAATTTTTTATTACATCTTGTCATTTAATTGTATACCGAATAAAACTACCTACATCTGACATAGAAATACTCGTAAAATTACAAATGTGCTTAATGTGTGGAAAATGTGTGGAAAGATCAGCAATAGAAAAAGGAGAGTGAAGAAATGGATTTTTTTTTGTGAACTTAAAGCTTTAAACAAATTTTTTTATATTTGTATCAATTATTTCTTAATTTTAAGTCCAATAAGACACAGGATTAAAAGTACTACAATCCACACGGTCGTTATGCTGTAACCAGCAATGACACTCATATAGGAGAAGCCCCATCCTTTGGCTAATATGTCCCGCACTGCGATTGATGGTAATGTGAATGGTAAGAGGAATGAGATATATTGTAGGTATATAGGCATGCCTTCGAGTGGCCAGAAGATTCCTGAAATTTAAAAAAATGTATTTTAAGGTTAGCATTAGTCAGTAATTTGTGTGAACTGGGCATATCTAAATTTATAGACTAGAATCTACCTCATAGAACTAAATTCAAACTCACCACAAAGAATAATCATAGGATAGAAACTTCCAGTTGCCATAAAGTTCGCCATCGTATGAGAATCACAAAATATTGAAATAAAAAGCCCATAAAGCATTCCAGAGAATCCGAGCAACATCAACAGCAGAATGACAGTAAAGTTGTCACCATGATTCTCAGTATCAAAAATGAATGCAGCAAGTAGAACAATTTCAACGCACTGCATCAACATCACAGATGATTGTGTGATAATATGAGCAAGTAAAAGCTCAGTTGTAGATATACCAGCGACTAACGTTCTATCCCAAATACCTTCTAGACGATCTGTAATGAAGATTGTTGACGTGATGAGAGTTGCGAGGAAGAAAATCATTCTGGAATGAGTAAGATGAGTTAGGGTATGTGATAATTGGTTTAAAGGTGTCAAAATCTTAGGTTTGATTCGGTTTAGTCATAAATAATCCAAATCAAGCAATACTCACGTCATGACAACACCAGGAGCTATGTAATCAGTATAAACACCATCAATAGACCCATAAATCGGATCCTTAAAGCCTATCGGAATATTTCCAGCCTTTATCGGATATTTACAATCACCCATCAACTTCTCAATAAATTCATGATAAGTTTGCATCAATTTCTTTTCCAAGAAGAACGTCAGCTGCTGATCCGACTTGTCCATATAGATTTTTATTTCTGCATTCTCAAACGATCCTTCTGCTGCATAACTCGCTTCATCTCTTATATCCTGCATTGACTGAGTGAAATTTTTGGCAAAATAAATGACGCCCATAACTCGTCCCTTCTTTGCGTCGACGTATGCCTCATCAAATGACTTGTAATAATGTTTAATGGCAACACTGTCATTTATATGACTTATAAAACGGCAAGAAACTTTATTTAGATCACAGGTATCGTTGTATGGGTGAGTGGTAATAAGAGAACTATTCCAACACTCACTAAAGCTACCAAGCTCATCGTCCACAATCCCCAGTTTTAGACCAATTGGATTACCACCAATTGCAACATAGAAACATACAAGTTGAAAGATTGGGAAACATGTAAGAAATAGCATTCCAGCAGGTTGACGTAGCATTTGTAAGAAATTTTTCACTAGCAGTGCCTTCATTCGTTTCCTCGTCGTTATTTGAAGGTTTTTAACTAAATTCTTCTTATTACAATCCACATCACCAACTCCTGTACAACATGCTGTATTTGAATCATTTGATTCTATTGAATTTTTTCTTTTCACCTCATTCGTGCTTACTGTCTTATCATCTCCAGCTATGCTATTCGATATCGTGCTAATTTGTTGTAATTTTGAATGAACCTCATCGGAGACGCCATGCTTAACGCAAAGCTGTAGGAAAGCATATTCTAATGATTCTGCTTCGTAATGACTAAGAATATTTTGGGGTGAATCTTCAGCTAGTAGAATTCCATTTCGCATGAGTCCTATCTGTGGATTAGAAGGGATAAAGTTGATATAGACTCAAAAGTTAATTAAAATCAACGTTTAGATTTAAAATAATTAGATATATAATAGTATTAATATTAGAGTTAAGAAGCCTTGACCTCTGAAAAAGGGAGGATGTAATGTTTACATGTCAAACATGCCAAACAATTTATAAATATTTCAATGAACTTGCCAAACAAAACATGAAAGTCACTTACACAATTTGCTTGTTTTGCTTCTTCAATGTAGTGCGTTGTAATAATAACTGCAAGCTTGCTTGTCCTTGTCGTTTCAACCAAAAAATCCCAGATCTTTTCTCTGAGCAGCGGATCAAGACCGACCTTAAAATGTGAAAAGAAAAAAAAAATCAATTTGCTTTTCAAATTTGAAGGGCTTTTTCAATTCACTTACTGTAGGTTCGTCAAGAATTAATAGCTCAGGCTCATGTACCATTGCTGCTGCGAATGAAACTCTTCTCATTTGTCCACCTGAACAATGACCAACTTGGCGACTACCGGGTGGAAGATCAAGGAGTTCTTTAAGTAGTTTATATCGTTCTCTTATCCTTTCTGTGCTCATTCCATAAATACGACCGAAATAATAAATTGTTTCTTTGATTGAGAATTCCTCTGTAAGAGCGATTTCTTGTGGCATGTAACCGACCCGTGGACCTGAATTTATTTGTTAATCTTAATAAAAAGTTAAAACTTCTTTTATATTTGCTTACCTGGAACTCCAGAGCCTATAATTAAACATGAATTGAAATAAAACTTAAATTAATAAAATATCGATTAGTAATGAACACTAGAATTACCTTTTTTGCCGGGTGTTCCACCTAATACTGAGATTTTGCCTGCATTTAAAAATTTTACACCAACAATGCATGACAAGAGTGTTGTTTTGCCACAACCGGAAGCTCCCAAAAGTCCGTATCTATAAAGAATAAATTACATAGAATTTCATAAGAATTAATGTTCGGTTGCCATCAATTGTCACAAAATTAGCACCTATCGTAGATGAAATAGTATTTTTCACAAGAATATGCGAATTCTTAAAGCCATTTAGAATCATCAAAATATTTGTTTGCTAAGTCTCGAGATGTATGACGAAGTAGACAGTTTGGAGATATGTTCATTATGTTCATCTTCAACACTTTTTTGGCTAATAAATTGAGTTTTAAACACGAGTAAGTAATTTATTGTTCGCCTCACATGTTGCATAATTGCACGCCATAAAATATTCAAAATGAATTTTACGATTTTTTATTTGGTGAGAACGGCTCACTAATGTCTAAATTGCGTGGTGATTCTTATCGGAATGTTTATGTAAATTAATTAAACTGAGCAAGTCGTTATTAACATTGTGGAAGGAAGATTGCATGCAGAACAAAATGCAATTAATTTGATCAATGTTTGTATTTTAATATCTGAGAATCTTTATTAATTTAGGGTTATTAATCAGGTTCGGTAATTGAAAGCTTAGAAGATTAAAATCAGGGTTTGTTGAGAATATATTAACGGTAATTTCATATTCAAATTATGAATGCAACTATAATTAGTTTACTTCTCCTTGTATAGTTGTTAACCCCTTTCATACAAATATTTGGTCTGTTTCTAATTATCGAACAATAAACATGTTGTTATTAATTACAAATCCGTAAAGAGTCTTTAATAGCCTTTATTAATAAAAGAACATTCTGATTATCATTTCACTTTCTGACCAAGCCTTTGAAAACAGCATCGAAAAGCTTATTCATGAATCTCTTTAACTTATCGAAGTAAATTGATTTTTAATGCTCAAAGTAGCTAATCCATGATAATGCCTATTAAAGTGAAAACAATCATGTTAACTTAAATCAACGCCTTCTGATACAGTTGATCAATCTCAGCATATAATCAAATTTTCGCATATGCGTTTATTTTCAGTCAACGTGCCAACAGACTTCAAATAACAGCACACACGAGTGTTGACTTGTAAATTAAAAAAATACTATTTTTGAGTACTAACATGATAAATAATCATCACATTAAAGTATTGTGCAAAAAAAATCACAAATTTGCATCTATGCATAATGAAGTACAAAAGCAAATATTTACGGAAGTTTTGTAAAAATTGTCTTGTCATCGTAATTTAAGTTTTGTAAGAATCACTCGACATTCTTAAGTGAATGCAATTAATAAATCTCTTAGAGTGTTTTTGTTCTGCATCATCACAAAATTGTTATTTGAAGGAGATTCGTGAGGCGATGATGAGCAGTCACAAGGGCAAAATGCTTTTTCAACTCAATCCGTTTATGAATCATTACAGGAGCGTAGCCAGGAGGGGGGGGGGGGGGGGGCATAAGGGGCCCGGGCCCCCCCCCCCCCCCCTACGAAAATCTGATAATTGTTTTATTAAGTATTTATAGAGAAGAAGTGATGAAAGAAATGTCAAAATCAGCACAAAAAATTAAATTTAATGTATGAATAATGAATTAAATATTTAAACTTATGAAGAATGAATATAGATTTAAGGATACAAAATAACGGTTTTTTAAAAATTTTGTGGCTACGCCCCTGAATCATTACATGCGAGATTGATTTTTGTGTGCTTCTTAAAATGAAAATCGTTTGGATGTTAGACCCGTCCACTACTTGATAGTTTTTGGATGTGAACACATTTCATAAGTTTTTGTGAAGACAATCTCAAACATTTCTTAGCATCCAAACAACCTCAAAGAGAATGTGACTTCTGCATTCACTCCGCGTGACTTAATGGCAATGAAAATTCAAAAATTAATCAATACTTACATTGATCCATGTGTAACCGTCATGTTAAGACGATTGAGAACAATTTTCGGATCTTTTTCCTTTCCATAAAATTTATATCCATTTCGAACCTCCACAGCATTCATGATTGTGCTTATTTTATTGAACTAATTACACTGTACAAAAGTCCTTATTTTATTGGCGTGCAAAAAGGCACGCAAAAATCTTTAAATAATTCCTTTTTTTTATTTCACTTAATTCCACTTGATTATTTTACAGATTATGAATTGTTCTTTTTCTGTGAATTAATTTTTTTTATCTTATTCTTTTTTTTTTTGCTTATTCACTGCTAACCGTGTATCATTAATGGCATGAACATCATTACTAAAAGAAATATAGAAAAAAAAAAACTTTTGTTATTCAAACAGAAAATTTTAAGCGTGTCATATATTTTTGATAGCATTTTATCTTTGGAATCTTCGGGGAGAATTTTTATATTTTTCTCGACATTTGATTTTTATTTTATTACCAAAATTCTAATTAGCAAAATATTGGCAATAACCATTATATCACGTTTAATTCTCATCAAAAATTTAAATAACAAGAGTTATAATTTCAGAATCATTCAAATAAACTTATAAACCAATGAAGTGTGTCTTTCGCTTGAGAAAATTCTACAAATTTCATTTTTAATCTTATTTGATGTTTCTGCAAACGAAATTGAAAACTATAAAGTGATCATCAAGTGCTGGATTTCTCAAACTATCTTTCATGGCACTTCCAAACAGATTAATAGTTTGAATTGGAATACTGCCCAAGGCTCCCGTAGATTATAATCTTTAAATAATCCCATACAAAGATTATAATCTTCAAAATTTTAGATTCTAGATTATTAGCTTTTCTTTTCATATTCACACAAATTTTCAATTTTTGTGAATATATTTGAAGATTATAATCTGCGGGAGCCTTGATCCTGCCAAGCTTCGAAGTTAAGAAATTTGTTTTGAAGAAAAGAGTTTAAAACTGAACAAATGATTCAAGATCATTTTCGATTTCTTTACATAGTTCTGCACCCTTTGATCATTGTTCAATCTATTGTTTCTTAAATGTTAAAATCAAATTTACAACAAAAAATTAAGTTTCTATGAAAACTGTCATTCAGGATTCGTGAGTGCTGTATCGTTTCCTTAATAATATTAAATGTGTCAATTAAATAGAGAAAACTTCCAATGACGTTAAAACATTTCCATTCACTAATTGTTAAGAAATTTAAACTAAACATGCTGCTCAGGTTTTATTTCCTGTCACTTTAGATACGACAATCTAATTTATTTAAAGAACAACGAACAATTTCAAGATTAGAATTTACAAATTAAGAATAATAAAGACATTAATCCTCTAAACCCCGGAAAAAGAATCAGCACTTGTTCAATAATGCATTTAATTTGATCAAATCAAAAGAAACAAAGGAAAAGATTAAAAATTAACTCAGAAGTGCTATTGAAGATTTGATATTTTTGGAATATTGCCAATTCTTAAAGCTTCCTATATAAAAATTATTTTGCGAATCATTGCAATAAAAAGTTCATGGGAGTTGTTTGGATTTCAAATTATAGAAAAAGCCACGGGACACAATTTACCGGAAGAAAATTCGACAGTAAATGTTGATTATTTTATTTTAAGCACTCGAAATTGCAGTAGATAATAAATCATTTCCTGAGTTTATTGATGAATGGTCGAGAGAATCATTAAACCTAATGTAAATTATTTTATTTTAAATAATGATCCTGAATTGAGATATGTAATTTGACTGTCATTAGTGAGCAGGTACAATAAAGTAATCTCTTGTTTTACTGGGAATCAATATTGATATTATTATTTAAACTTTTACAGCTGGAACCGTCACTTAAAAATTAATAATTCGCAAATAGAAACAGCAACCCAACTTCAAAATTGATCATTAATGCATGCGATCCAATTGAACCTTTACAAATGACTTGTTCCTTTCATGTCAAGACAAATCTCTTATTAATAAAGACATCAACTTTGTTGATCCGCTGAGGATTTTGTGCTTCAAATATTTTTGTGTAATTTATAATTTTTCATGTCATGTGATGATCATTATCAATAATTAATCACAGAGAATTCACATTAATTACAAATAATAACTTTTGTACTCATCGCTAAACAGATTAATGAGGAATAATTATTTAAAGTTGCCCATCCAATATTCACTTAATGACTGACTTTTTGACAAATTTTTAAACGACGCTGAGTCTTAAAAAAATTATGATCGAATTTAATTATTTCAAAAAACTGCTGTGTCATTTCTTTTTAACTATGGAAGTCACTAAAATTTGATATGCCATGAGTCTGTGTCATTTGATTCATTATGACTACGTGACAAGAAAAGTTGAGGAGATTTAAAAAGAATAACTGAGCAACACAAAGTCAACTGAGACTTTAAATACATTTTAAACACTTTAGAGTTCCTTAATCAAGCTTTTGAGTCACTGGGTTTATGCAAATCAATTGAATTTAATCCTTTCTTATTTATATTCACACCGTTTTCACGTGTGAATCTATTGGTTTTGTTCAGATTGAAAGTTTTTTCAGTTTTTTGAATTTTGTGAAGATATAGAGCAAGATAGCTTAAAATGTTCAGAGATGAAAAGTTTGTGCCTGAAATTTTACATCATTTTCAAAAAACAGATTTCAAATTGGTTGTGGCATTGCTGAGAAAATCGCAAAATACGCTTTCTGTAAGCAAGCAAACAAGCATGCAAGTTAATCATCAAGAAATCTCAATAACGAGACATTGTAGAGACTTCTGGTTTTCTACATTTGATCCGTGCTGCTCTATAGAAGAGCTGTATTGTTTTTGGGCAAGGTAGGAACAGCCGTTGCTTCAGAAAAAGCAAAAAACTTTCCTTTCTTACGAATTTTTCAAAACAAAAATTGACTGTGATTTTTAAAAATTCAACTTTGGATGAAAATTCTTTTTAAAAAACTTTTAAAGAATGTTTGGCATATTTGTCAAGCTTTATACCTTCAAACTTATGCTGAGCGAAGCTCAGTTGACTTATCAAGCTTCATACCTTCATACTTAGGATGGGCAAATCTTGGTCTATCCATAAGACTTTTGATAGTACGGTGTGAATATAATCCGCATTGGGTTTCTACCCGATACACTAGTTTATCCAGAACTGACTTGCAAAATATCAATCAGTGTTTACCTACAAGAAATACAGTATGTTGATTAATATCCATGGATATGCAATTGAATAAGTAATGGAAATACATCAAAAGGCGTCAAATATTGCCACAAAAAAACCTTTTGGGATGTCTGAATAATGTAAATGTCAATCTAGTTCTTAAAATTCTTAATTAGTAGTTCCGTTCGGTTTGAAGGGAATGTTGATTTTCACTTGATTGATTTTAAATCTTGGAAATCGAGTATGAAAACAATCCTTAATTTGATTTCCAGAACCACCAATTAGACCACCTTATTCCATATACCATAAAATTTTGGTTTTTAACTACTTGCTAGTTCAGTCCTCTTAAGTCATATGCACTTATTTTATGTTTCCTTTGTCTTATCAAAAATCGCCGATTATTTTTGAATTTAAAAATTATGAACAATTTGCAGACCACATCAAGTCATTAAAGTACTTATTTTAACTGCACTATGCCACGTGAAGTTCTGTTAATGAATTTTTTAAGCCACAAAGTTGACGATTTACTGCTGTGATTTTTATGGATTTAAAGACACACTTAATAAGTTTTTTATGAGTAAAACAAGCTGATCATATTGAACTGAAGAGTTTATCTTAATATTGAAATTTATGACATTTATATCTTTATGTCCTGTATCTCGTAGACTTTTGTCACTTCCTTGTCTTAAGTTTGATCCAATTTGTAACAATGATTTCATTTAATTCTTATTCTTTAACATTTAACTGCTCATGATCATTCAAATTGTTGACTTATACTTCCTTTGACGTCAACAAATCAAAATAAGTCAATTTTTGCACGCCTTTGCCGTAGCCAGCAAAAAATAATAATATTAGGAAATATTCATAATAACAATTTCAAGCTTGACTTGAAAAATTCAATTGCTCTGCACTTGATTTCTTCTTGTTTTAGGAATATTAAGTCCTCATCAAGTGGAGTGGATTAGTAAATGACAAATGCATGACTTGACGTTATTTCGTTAAGCACAATCGACAAATTTAACAAAAAATGTTGCTAAAATTCACAATTAAAATGTTTATTAAAAAATCATTAGATTTTGACAGGTTATTAAGTAACAAATCCTTTAAATATCAATAGAATAATGAATTTTCATTTTGACGCAATTTTAATGCTCTTACTGATCTAAAATAATCCAGTTTGCTTAAAATGACTCCTTCTTGGAACTTCAGATCATGCACAACGAAATATTAATCATAAAATTCACACTTAATTACCAAAACAACTATATTCTATTGCTAATGATCTTCAATTCTACTACTTGACAAAAAATAAAGTACAATAGGTCTTGATGACATCCATTAATTTTTACATACAGTAAAGTTAATGATAAACAAAAAAAGAATAATGAAGGAAATTTTATCCGTAAACAAAAGAGATGTTAAAAGTTTGTGCGTCTATCCTTCAGAAGGTCAAACACGAGAATCATTCACAATTAGTCTGTTTTGAAAAGAATTCACGTCCAGCCTTTTCTAATTATTTACAATTTTGTCCATTCCTCCTATTACACGGTAAACCTTTTCATCAGCTCTCAAGTGATTGATATCGAGCATGATAATTGCGTTGTTATTGATATTAATTATTTCATAATAACTTCATGTTGAAATCTTATTAAACCTTTTCTTAAACTAGCATAATGGTCTGTAACTGCTAATAGCACGTGGATTTATTATGGATTTCTTGGAATCAACAGAAAAACATAATAACAAATGTTTTGATTCAGTTGCCTAATTTAGTCATAAAAGTGGACATAATAGCCATAGGTTATGTTATGTGTTGCTCCAATTAAGTGATAAATGATTATCTGCTTTATTTTTGAAAATAAATTGTTATCGATTTTTAAGTTTTAGTCAATCGATAAGCTTCTAAAACCTTAACTTCATTGAATTATAATTTTCTCAGAAAAACACAAAGCATTGTTCTTAATAGTTTTCTGATTAATGGGCTTTGTTATTAATTCTGTGAATTGTTGATTGTTATGATACATAAGATCATAAAAGCTTCTTTTAAACAATATAATTGAAGGGCAGTGTCCATTCTTTATAGCTAATATTAATCATTAACTTGAAGATTCATACTTTTAAGTAGAGTTGTAGTCAGGATAGAATTCTAAGTTCGTCTCTACTCCAACT